TCAGAATACAACTGTGTGGCAAGAAATTAGAAGACTGAAGAGCAGTAGAAGCCTTTGCTTACTCCACATCTGTAATTCCACCTTCCAATATTGTTGAAATCTTTTAGCTACAAAAAGTATTGTTGTCTCCTGAATACCTTAGATTTGAACCAATACTAACCCCCAGAGGACTAAGTACTATAATAAATCTCAAGCTTTGTTCACCTAAAACTGAAAACCTAATTTCCCTCTGAACAAATGCTGTGCGCGTATGAGGGACTCACTTTCAAAACCTGATTTGTACGCAAATCACATCTGAATTCACACAGAACAATAATAAAAAATACGCATGCACCTAGTTTCAAATTTTCTTCTTTTGTGTACTTTTTCATTAATCAAAAGGCAAAAAAGTGTAAAATCTGATTTAAAATTATCTATATTTAGTCTTCAAAATGCATTCAATGAAATGTTCTATCATCAATGACAAAACATCCAATTCTAGAAGATATTTAGAATCACATCTTTATATAACAACCTCTAGTCTGTAAAGAAAATCAAAATAAAGGTGAATAAATTAAATTTAAATAAATTAGCTAACATTTTTATCTATCTTCACTCTAATAATGATTGCCTTTTACTATCTTGCGACCCCTTAAAGCACAAAATTTTAAGTTATGAATCTTAAAAGACCCTAAGAATGTGTTTACCAAAGTGTTAAGAATTCCGGGCAATATTCTTTTCTCCAAAAAGTAACCAGCAAGACAGACACACACACACACACACACAGAGAGAGAGAGAGAGAGAGAGAGAGAGAGAGAGAGACAGACACACACACACACACACACCCCACCCCCTTCTTTTAAAGCTTATCTATTTCTTTCTCATACAAAACTCTTGTTTAGAGATTTCTTGCTTTTAAAATGACATTTAGGCATAAATGAGGAAACTGAGTTTCAAAACCAAAATAAATTGAATATACACTAGGTCTTCAGAAAGAAACACACACGTATGCAGCACACACAAATACAAGTGAACTAAAAACACAAGAATAATTTTTCTAAGATTTTTAGTACAAAAATATAAGCTGCTAGTTCTAAGAAAAATCCAACCACAGGCAGACCTAAATTGAAAAGTAAACTTTCCCACAAAACCTTGCCCGTTCACTTAACTGCCTTTCTCCAAAGATACCCACTACTCAATGTTTTAAACAGAACCTGTTTTAAACAGAAATTGCAGCATACTATATGAACAATTGGCTTGTTTTTAAACAAAATATTCAAGTCACTTTCTCTTGTCAGCATGTATAAACCTATTTCAATTTTTTCCATGGTTGCATAGTATTCCATGAGTACTTCTTAATCAATTCCCTTCTGATACAAGTGTAGATTCCAAGCTTCTCAGTATTGAAAACCATACAGCAATGAGCATTGCTTACTGTATGGAACATTTCTGTGCACTCATGTTAATGTATCTATAGTATAAATTCCTAGAAATGACACAAAAATATTGTGCCAAACAGCAGGGAAGCACCATCCTCTTCTCCCACCTCCTCAATCCACTCTAAGTACTGCCTACCTATCTTGTTAGTCTTCGTCAATGTGAGAGATGAAGATAGCATGTTATTTTCACTTGTGTTTCTTTATAAAAGAGTAAAGATGAGTTACATTTAATCATGTGCATTTCTTTGTGAAATGTGTTACCCATTTCCTACTGAGTTATTCACCTCTTTTTTTAAACCAATCTTTAGGAGTCCTCTGTCAGCCTTTGGTCAAACATGCTAGAAATATTTGCCCCACTTAGCTGTTTGACTTGGTTTATCATGTTTTCAATCCTACAGAAATTTTTAGACATTTTATATGGTTGCATTTATGTATTTTCCTTTATAATTCAAATTTCAGCTTATATTATGTAAGTTCTTTGCCAGGGGAAATTTTTTATGTGACTTCCACATCATTACTTAAATGGTATCAATATTTACATGCAAGCACCTTCAACAATAGCTCCAATATATTGTTACTTAACAAAAATAATCCAACTACACTTCATCTAAAACTTTCTATAATCAACTGACGGAGAGCTCTGCATCAATTAAATACTGATTACAACTATGACACCAGAATTTTATTTCCTGTGAATGTTTTCTTAAATTCTAGGAGTTGAAAAATAACTAGCAAATATAGTTAATTTCCAGTAAGTCTCAATTATCTGTCCCTCAATCCTTAAATAATCTTCAACAGCGTAAATGTAAAATAAAGTCCAACAACTAGATTTTCCCTATTGTAGCTATAATTTAGTCATCTCTACAAAAGTCAATGAATACTCCCTATACAAACAAACTTGTAATCTTGCAATATCAGAAAACTGCTTATGACGCTATCAACACTGTACTTTGTTCTTTCCCATTTCAAGTCCTGAAGCAAAAAAAAGAGTTCTACCTCAAATCACAAAATTATAAAATAAGCCTCTTGAGTTAGTATACCAATTCAAACCACCACTTAGAGCTAAACTGGATGGTTAATCTAGCCACTCTCCATTCTCCACTTTAAAAAAAAAAAAAAAAAGACCTCGTCATAAGTTTTCTATCTCACAGTGCCAGCTACCAGGCATTTAACAGTCTTCCATCTCTATGCTGACACACGTAACACAACTTGGAAGTTAAAAAGATCGGCAGAACTGTGGGGGCGGGATGGAGAATATTTTCCACAATTTCTGCAGCACTTGCTTAGCATGCATGCATTTCCGAAGGAGTGGTCAACTCTTCAAAACTGTAAGAAGTATCACACTATCTCACGTGAACCAATGCCATCTGCATTCAGTGGTCTCCTTCCCTTTTGGGGACTCTTTAAAAAGTTACTATTTTCTTTTACAACTCACCCAGGCCTCTTCACTGATGAAAGCAGGCAAAGCCCACGCTGTGTGTCTGTCTCCTAGAGAAGATTGCATCTTTTATTTATCATTCTTTGGCTTTATTTTCACAATGAATTCCTGGCTTAAATGCAATCAGCCAAGAAACCCTCCCTGTGTGCTCTCCTGTCATTCCTCATTGCTTGCAAGCAGAATCAAGCACTGAAGGGGGATAAAAACCTCAACGTTGCCAGCCAAGCCATAAAAATTCGCAAACTCTAGTTGGTTATACTGACAACCCATAGTTGCCTTCAAACCGTTTCAACCCGGCAGGAAACAAGAGGAAAAACTTGAAAGAATGTTAATTAGATTAAAAAAAAAAAAAAAAAGGATGGATTGCCTCAAAATCTGAACCCCCGTAAAGACAGAAGGAAAGGGTGCTGAACCTAGGAAAGGCAACATTGGAGGATGCCTTTGGAAATAAATGACCATGCAGAAAATCACGTTTGCAGATTGCATTACAAGTCAAATTAACCAGACAGGATTAAAATAAATCTGAATTCTCTCTTGCGGCCCCTATCCAGACCCCCACCTAACTCCGAAACATAAAAATAAAAGGAACTGACAACGGAAAGAATTAAAAATCAGAGACTGATCCTTCCAAACCCCTTCACATTCATTAGGTACCCTGTTCACCGCTACAATTTAAACTACATAGCAATAGGAGAGGGAATAGAAAATATGCCATTTGCAGTAAGGAGAAAAATATGGGGAGGGGATAGTTTCACTAATAAGCATTGTTCTTTTCAGTCAGCTCAAACATCCCCATGGCTATGGCTGAAAAAGCTATCTGGCCCGGAAAGGGGGGGGGGGGACCTGGGGTGCGGTTAGGGTGGGGGAACAGGGAAAGCTTTTAAACTCGGTATTTGAGAAAACTCTCATGGTCTATCAGAGAAAGGAGGGCTGTACAGCTTTAAATCACAAGTCCTCTCTCGCCTTTGTCAAATATCTTCTACTTTACAAGCTCTGAAAAGAAATAGAGACTCTTTTGTTTGGTTTCCCCTTTTCGGCGGATGACAGAAAACTGAAAAGGGCACAAATAAACCTGAAAATCAGAACAAAGTGCAGGGTCGCGCCCGGCTACCCGGCGGCCGCGGCAGGAGGGACGCGGGAGCGGCCGCGGAGCCCCTCGGCCTCGCGCTCCTGCAGCCGCCAGCAGCGAGCGCAAAGCCTGTAACTGCTCCCCGGATCGCACCGAGCACCGGACTACCCAGCGCAAACCAAACTCAGGCGGCAAAGAGTCTTCGGGCACCGCTGCGGCCCCAAAGAAAAGAGAAGCACGAGACGCTCCTTCCCAGACTCGCGCCATTTAATTCGGGGTGTCCTGGGGGCAAGACGTCCCTCAGGAGATGGGTACAGCCCGCGGCCCCCTCCCTCCTGCGCTACTCCGAAACAGGATAAATGGGGAAGGGAAAAGACATTTAAATCTTCAGGCGGCCGACGGAGCTCGTTTTGGCCAGACCAGACACCGCAGCGACCCCGGAGCGTCGCGGCCGCTAACCCGTCGAAGCCCTTAGAGGAGCGGCCGCCGAGTGGTATAAAAATGTATTCCACTCCCCTCAAAACGAAGGGGCGGGGAGGGGGAAGAGGAGAAAGAGGAGCGAACGACAGACAAGGGGAAAAAAAGAGAGCGCAGCCCGGCCGCCGGCTCGGCCCCGGCCGGCATTGTCTGTGCGGCCCGCGCCCCCTCCCCCGCCCCGCACGGCCCCGCCACACACCCTACGCCAAAGCCCGGCAGTCCGCCCGCGCCTTTGTCCACATCCACCGCCCCCCTAAAAAAAAGGCAAGTAACCCTCCAGGATGTGCTCCTCGGGAGGAGGGCGGGGAACGGAGTGGGTCCCCGGCCCCCGACACCCACCCCGCCGACCCCGCCGCGGGGCGCGTCCTGCTGATTCATTTCCCACTCGCGCCGGCCCGTCCGGGGAGACAGGGGGCGGGGAGGGGCGGAAAGGAAATGGGCGCTCCGCTCGGGAGGACCGTCCGAGCCAGTGAGGGCACCGGGCAGGGGTGCGGGCGCACGCTGGGCTGAGGGGCTGACCGAAGGGGAGGGGGCAGGCGCCCCGCCCCCGAGGGACTGACGGACTGACCGACCGGCCCAAGGCTGCCCCGTGACTCACCGACTTGCAGGACGTTGTCGACGCAGCCGCTCTCCAACAGCGCGATACCCCGGCGGAAAGGCAGCCGTGTCTCGTCGCCACCGTCCGCCGCCCCGGCGGACCCTACCGACGGGACCCCAGCCCCGGCGACCGAGGTGGCGGCCGGCGAAGACGAGGAGCTGCCGCTGCCCGCGCCGCCCGCGCCACCGCCCGCGCCGCCGGGGCCGCCGCTGTCGTCGCCGGGGCCGCCCGCGGCGCCGCTGCCGGTGTTGAAGGACGAGTACATGCAGATCTCCCGCTCGCTGCGGGGAAAGGACCAGTAGACGATGCGGCGCTGCACCGGCTCCGGGATGCGCTCAAAGCGCTCCTCCACGCGCTGAAACGGCCACTTCTCCGCCACCTTGCGCGCCGCGATGTCCAGCAGCGACTCGGGGCTCTGGGTCTTGCCCGGCGGCAGCAACCCCAGCGCCGCGCCGCCCCCGCACACCGCCGCAGCCGCACCGCCCGCCCGCGGGCCCGGCCGACAGGCAGAGCTGTAGCCGCCACCCGCTCCTCCGCCGCAGCTGCTGCCCCCGCCGCCGCCGCCGACGCCGCCACCGCCGCCCGGCCGGCAGCACAGCCGTTTCGCGGGAGGAGGCTGCTGTCCGCGCTCCGCCATGACCGCGCCGCTTCTAACCCAACAGCGGAAGTGCCGGGACCCTATAAACGGCACAAGGAAGCGCGACACGCACACGCCGCCGCGACGCCACGCTGCCATCTAGGGTCCGCCGCACCTTGTACGGGCACAAGAGGTGGGGCCTCCGCCGTGACGTCAAGGCTGAGGCGGGGCACCAATAGGGGGACCTAGGGCCAGGGGCGTGGCCTATGCAAATAGCTGGGCAGAAACATAAATAGAGCGCTCGGCGGACACGGGGGTAGCGGGGGCGGCGAGGTTGGGTGCCGGTGGGGTGTGAGAATGTCAGGCTGCCGTGACGCGGTGGGGCGGGGCTCAGGTGGGGTTCCCGCGGGAGGGGGCGGGCCTCGGGACAAGCCCCAAAGTGGGTGGGTCTCTGCGCCCCCTGCTTCTCAACTTCCCCTTCCAATTCCCTACCTCCTTTTGATGTCCCACAAGTGAGGGCGCGCCTCGTGGGTCGCAGCAGGATGGAAGGGGAAATGTAGGGGGTGAGCCCGGGGAAGGGTCCAGGCTAAGTGAGGGGGCGGGGCCCGCGGGCCGAGGCCCCACCCCCCCGTCAGAACTAGCCCGCAGGGGAAAAAGCCTCTGGGCGGAGGAGGCGCTTTCAAAACAAAGAAATGCGGCGTGGAGCCCAGGGGACGGGGGTGGAGAGGAAGGCGGAGGACGAGCGGCTGTAGCCGCCGGGCTGCCTGCTTCCCCTCTAACTAGCTCGGGGGAACTCCCCCCACTCCCAGCCTTGGCTGCGGCGGCGCGGGGGAAGAAGGCGGAGGCTGCGCTCGGCGGCTGTTTTCCAGTTCACTTTTGTAGACCCGGGTGAGGAAGGAGAGCGCCCGCTCCGCTGCCCAACTTGACTGCAGCGCACGCAGCCCCGAGCCCCACGTCCGCTCGGTCCCAAGGGCTGGGCTGCTGGCCGAGCCGGCCAACGTGTCCAAAAACGCTCAGAGCTCTCGGAATCTACCCCGCAGCTGGGCGACACGCCTTCAGAGCGGGCCGCGGGCGACCTGCCCTCGCGCTCCTTCATCCCAGCGCGGAGCTGGGTAACTTGAACCGGCCCTCATCTCCCTTGCGGCCGCGCCGCCGAGACCCCGCTCCAGGCCCAGTGGAGGGTACAGTCATGCAGTGGATTTAGCAAACACACCTTTGTGAGTATACACGCCACGGGAGCGCGCGCACACGCCCCACGAGCGCGCGCGCACAGCCCAGTCGGCTGCAGACGGCGCGCCCGGGACGCTCGGCGGCGGACGGCGGCTGCAAGCGCTCTCAGTGCGCACTTAGACCTGCGGCCCGGCTCGGCGCCGGGTGCGGGGCTGCAGAGAGCCAAGGAGCTCTGGACGCGCGCCGCGTTCTCTGACGCCCTGGCGGCACCCAAACGGCCCATCCTCCCCGGGATAGGCAGCTTGGGGAGCAGGAGAACGAAAGCCAGTGAAGAGCGCAGCTCGCTGGCGCCAGGGCGCCGGCGAAGAAGAAGCGAGTACTGACTGGGCTGAACCAGGAACCCTGCGGACATTGTTCTTTGCACTCCGCAGAGCTCGGTCAAATCTGGGTCCAAGCCACGGACTTAATTAGCACGTTAGAGACGTCTTTACTCTTTGCCCCACCTTCTGTTTTTATTGTAAACCGTATTGCTGATACTATCGGTATTGTAGAAGATAAACTATCTCCTTTGGCACTTTCGCATCTATTAAGGTTATTGGCTGACACCTGCCTTCCTCGTTGCCTGAATTTAAAGGTATAGAGCGCTTCCGAGTTTTAAAGAAAATCTCCCACTCATGGCCGAGGCCCGAGAGACCTCGAGCTCCAGCTCTTGGCTCTTCCCGTTGTTAGGCCTTACCAAGCCTCGGGCTCCAAGTCCCAGAGGGACGGGACACTGGCAGACTTTTTTCATAGCTGCCGTACTTGTTAGGAAAATTTTGGTGACATGTTTTTGTATGTTCTTCTGGTATATTTTCTGGGCACCTCCTCAATGCTTAGGAAAAGGCCTGGGCAAAAAACTGGAAGAATATCTGGCAAACGGACCTCTTAAAAATAATTTTTTTTTAATTTTTAAAAAATATAGATGATAATACAAAGTAAGTCGAAAAGTAAAACACTACCCTCAAATTACAGCCATGATAGGACTTAGGTTTGTTTACCACCTTGTAGATTTCCAAGCATTTTCATATATATATACACACAGAAGTGCTGAACTGGAAAGTTAAAGATGACAAAGTTGGTGCCCCCAGACAGGGTAAGTGACTCATTCAGGGTCATAGGAGGTGTTGCTGGAAGAAATTAATTCATACTGAACAGGAAAATTAGACACCTTTGGAAGCCTAACGTTTAGAGACCTCAATTTTGTAATGAACCGAAGAGACTGGATTTAAGGCATTGTCCTACATTGGAAGGATTTAGTTTAATGTGAAGACAAATCCAGAGCCACCAGCTCAGCCTGACCCAGTTTTCCCTCTTTGTATTCTCTTACACTGAGACCACTCTTTTTTTTGAACTGTATTCCTCCCCGCCCCCATCCCGTTTTCCCTGACACTCTCCTATGCCTCCAACGTCTCCAGTTCCTCTCTGCCTTGTTTTTGGGTTTCTCTTCCTCCAAACTGTTTAATGCAGGGGTCCCCAACCAGGCCGCGAGCAGAGCTCGTTTGAGCTCCCCCTCCTGTCTCCCCGCCCCCATCCAAAGTGGGGCCAGCGAAGCTCATCTGAGCTCCGCCTCCTCTTCCATCCCCACCCACTCCATCCCACCCCATTCTACCCCATCCCATGTCTTCCACAGAACCGGTCCCTGCTGCCAAAAAGGTTGGGGATGGCTGGTTTAACGTACACCCTGCACTACAAGTTAGCATGGTCCTCTTCTCCGGTTTTGCTGAACCGCCCCTTGGAGAGTTTCCCCCATTTTTCATTCCCAACTTTAGTCTCTGCTTCAGCACAAGTATTCTTTTCTGATGGCCCTCTTCCTTTCCTCTTGCCACGAGGGTGCCCATGGCCGCCTCAGTCTTAAAGTACCACCTTGTCCTAGAAACCAGGTTCCTTCCCTTAGATTGTTACTACTGTTGCCACTTGTTCACAGGCACTCTTTATTGCTGTTTGCAAGTCCCAAATAGGTTTATTTGCTATGCTGTCTATCCCAGCCCCTCTTAGGGCTCTTATTTCTCCTCCTCTCTCTGGAGAGCCTTCTCACTAGTTTGTCTTCCCTCCTCCATATCCTCCCCCACCCAGCTGCTGTGCCTCCTAAAGTGTGATGGTGTCACCCTTTTGCTCAAGTGCCTTTAAATGGCTCCCTGCTGCCTACTGGAAAAAAGTCCAAATTCTATGGTCTTGACCAAACCCAACTTTCCAGCCTCATCTCCCACAAAAAAACAACAGAACTTCCAGTTCCCCAACAGGAATTTTGTTACTCCCAAAAGGACTTCTCTCAGTACCCCAAAAGTCACACCCACTTTCCTACTCTGCAGATTTGCTCAAGATGTTCCTGCTGCCTGTAATGCCTCTTCCCTTGCTTGCAACATGCCACATTCCTACCCTGTCAAATTCCAAGAACTTGCTCAAATGCCACTTCCTCTGAGAAAACCCACCTGGATGTGTGATCTCTCTCTCCTGGAGCCCCTCTGTTACTTTGGATCTTTCTTGTGGCATTTATACCATTCTGCCTAGCATCACAGTTATGTTTACACTTGCCTAAGCCATTCATCTCCTCTCCCTTCCCTGGTTAGATACTCTGAGAGGTGGGATTATGCCTCAGCCATCTCTATAGTCCCATGTGCCCCACACTGCACTGCAAGGCTGCTGTCTTCCCAGAGGCCAGCTACAACCGTGAGCCAAAGGAGAAATAAGTGACAGTATGTTCTTGCCGGCTGGTATTTGTGCCACCTCTCACTTTTGGGGTATTTAAAGTGTTTTTTTTTCTGGTGTTCATAGGAAATAATTACTAAATTACTTAGAATTGCTCTTTTCAAATAGGCCCCTACTCCAGGGACCAAATCAGGGTTAAATGCCTCTGATTATGCTCCCACGTGTACCATTAGGCAATGGTAGGAAATCAAAGTACAGAAGGTCTACAGCTTTCCAAACGCAGTGACTTGTCATATCACACCACACCACATCACATTGGCCAGTGTGGTCAAGAGCTTAAGCTCTCAGGCAGACTTCATAAACATCAACTTTCAGGACTCCATAAACTGATGGCTGCTAGGAAGAGAGACACACCTCCCCCTGCACTTGGCATGTTGCAGTTGGATGCATGAAAGAATAGATGGTAGAGGGAGGGAGGGAGGGAGGGATGGATGGATGGATGGATGGCAAAGGACATTATTTGAGAGGGGCAGTGGAGTCCTATTCAGAGATTTATCATGGCTCCTCCAGCTGCCTTTAATTTAAAAATGAAAAATTTGAATTAAATTCAACAGATATTATCAAATTCCTGGAGAAGTACTTTACAAAGAGAAACCTTTAGGATCCCCCAAGCAAAATGCACACAAATTTGGAATTGGGAACCAGAAATTGACATTCATTCACTCCCTACATGAATCTTCTTTACACTCAAGTTTGAAAAATACACTTTAGTGCCAAGAAGTTTACAGTCCCAGTGCTTAGGAGGAGGCATGCAGAAAGGAAAAAAAAAAAATAGCATTGCCTCATCGTTAAAGCTAGTCATCTAAGCTAATTAAGAGAATAATTTGCCATTAGTAAGAAGATTCCAAGACACGAGAATTGGATTAGGTCTAAGGAATCTCAAGTAATTTGAAGATGGGCACAAAGTTATGCTCATTTCCATGCTCTTCCTCATACTAGAACATACTTTTATATTTTGACCAAAGCCAGTTATGTTCCCTGGGCTATAATTATTTCGAGAGGACGAAAAGCCTAAAACAGCATAGTTAACCTGTTAGGAAGCATTATTCTCCCCTCCGATTGAATGACAGAGAATTCTACTTTATGTGGCTTAAATTATAGATGACACTTCATCAAGGCAAAATGTCCAATAACAGGGAAAAGTG